CATGCGAGAACATATAGTGACTTAATAATGTCATATGCATTTTTGTTACATATTAGCTGGAAATCTGGCAACCATGTATTTGTTTTAGCGCTTTTGACAGCAGTCATTTTCATGTCTTTTTAGTCTGTAATTTGTTGCACAGTTCAGGTATCGGTAACTAGTATAGCCCGAGCTGAAACTATATTTTTGTTTCAAGGAACAGATTCTAGATGGCGCTGTACACAACAATTTACAGAAATCTACAATTGATGGTGGAAAGAGTGGGAGTGTTATTTGTCATTGTCAGGCATCCATTATCGATTACCTCGCGGTGAATGACATTTGCCATTTTACCTGTATTTTTTGTGATTATCAATATCATATTGTCAATAATTATTATTTGTTTGTATTTGGGTGTTCTCTGGATCCTGGATGAATAAATAGTAAGTATTTTGTAAATAATTGTTCATTGTATTGTCAACTTGGTCTTGTTCAATTGTGTTTTAAATGTTCAATTTGTTTACTTGATCTTGCTGACGATTGAGCTTATTTTAAATTTTTGTGGTAATTTTTAGTTATAAAAGCTGTAATATATCGTATTGTTGTATGCCAAATTGTTTTGAAAACACTCTGAAATCCTAATAACGATTTATTTCAAATTTGAGTATTGGGTGTTCGCAGTCCATTTTTCAATAAAACAACAAATTTGTAAAAACTATTTAGTATGTGATAAACATTTTGAAGATATATTTAAAGTTCTTGGTGCACGCAGCGATCTAACTGTATTTTTATTTGTTCTAGTACAAACTTTTTCAAGCCGTTTGGAGTGGCAGTATTGCATCATTGAAGACAAAAACAGCCTAGTCAGGGAAGTAATAGTCACTGTACTTTTTGTATTCTTGCCTCATATTTGATTTTTATATTGATTTAGTTCAGATTGTTACTTTTACTGTTTTTTATTTGTTCTAGTACAAACTTTCTTCAAGCCGTTTGGAATGGCAATATTGGATTGTGGAAGACAAAATAGCCTAGTCCGGGAAGTAATGGTCAGTATACCTTTTTTTTATTTATGCCTCACTTTCTGTGCTCCCCAACAGATTTGAAGGGTTCAGGAAAAAAAGGGGCCTAGTCACAATTACCAAAATGTTCAGAAAACCAAATTTAATTTAGACTGACTAAATACAAACTTTTGATAATTTAAGGTAATTGATTACAAAAAGATGTTACTTTGTTTAAATGTTGCCTGATTATATTGTAGTTTACCACTTAATTTACCAGACAGTTGTAATTTTTTATTCTAAATACTGAAAATGACAAACAAACAGTAGGAAAGTCCTTGGACATAATTTTAAATGCACTGTTTTGCATTTGCTAATACTGGTATTTTACAAAATAGGGCGGACCAGTTCAATTTTGATAAAAATGTGGCTTAGCTGCTTTTTTATTCCTGTACCCTTCTTGATTTATAAGTTGATTAATATTTATTTTTTGTTTTAGATAAAACTCTTCAACCTCTGTGGACAATGACTTAACTTTCCAGCTAATTAACACGCTACATTTAATTATTCTATTTTGTATGTTTTTTTGTTTTAATAAATTAATTTTGTTGATCATGCTTTTTAATTTTTTGTAAAAATATTTTAACTTGTAGTCAAGTTAGGATTGGTTCATACTACTTATTTTTTGCTTTATTGTAACAAATATAATTTTATTGCTACAATAAACGTAAAAAAGGAGTTTGTATGAACAAATCTTAATTTGACTACCACTTAAACTAAATATTGAAGGACCATTTTGAATGTTCCCGCGTTTTGTGTTAACTAAAGTGACCGCGAGATGGCGCCACTTCCGCCAAATAGTTCAAAGAACGCTCACCGGGTGTTACAAAACTGTCTCAAATTTTAACATTGCAGTTTCCATTCTAAAAGTAATTGTTCTGTGGCACAGTTGTTCTGTACTTTACAGGAATTAAAGTGTTAATCTCGATGATTGTTTTAATTCCAGGTAAAATTAAGGTACAAGACCTTACAATTTTACTTTAAATAGCAACTAAGCCCCATTTTTTATTTCAAATCCTAAAACTCCAGCCAGAAACTGAGAAAATTCAACTTCATATTGTATTAAAATGCATATTTGACTGGATTATGTATTATATTCAATTTAGCACATTAAATAATCAAATCTGTTCCGTTCATTATATTTCAGTCAGTTTAATGAATAATATTTCCGGATGTACGACAAGTAGCCACTTGTTAATTCTAGAACTTTGCATAGCTAAATTATCATTGGTCAAAATAGAATCGATTGTTCAGGAATTTTCTCGTTTCATCCAATCAATATATAAATATATGAGCGGAATATCTGCGCCAAGTTTGAAAACAAAATAAATTGCGTTTTGAGAGAATAATATTGAAAGTTGTTTTTTTCATTCCCTAGTGAAAACTGAAAATGTCGCTAATACCACTTTTGCTCGATGATTCTCATTTCTTGCGACCATCAAGAGTTATGGACCAACATTTTGGGATGATGTTGGATCCAGAAGATCTTCTACAACCAATAAATCTTTCAAGATTGTTACTATGCTGTCCTGCGGGTTATATCAGAAATTGGAAATCGGCTGCATCTAAATATGATTCAGGGTCTACAGTAGCTTATGGAAAGGATCAGTTTATGGCAAATTTGGATGTTCAGCAGTTCAAACCAGAAGAAATTACTGTTAAAATTACTGGTGAAAACACTGTTACAATAGAAGGAAAGCATGAAGAGAAACAAGATGAACATGGACAAATCTTCCGACATTTTGTGAGAAAATACACTTTACCGAAAAACTACGATATCAACCAAATACAATCTAAGTTGTCTTCAGATGGTGTTCTATCCATTACAGCGCCTAGAATTGACGTTGAACAAATAGAATGCAAAAATATACCGATTACTCAAACTGGGGAACCAGTTAAATCTATTGAGAAAAAGAAAAGTGATGGTGATGGTAACAAGAAAAAGCAGTAGTTATCAAGAATCATTTTATTCTTGTATCAAAAATACAATACCTACCTTTATGTGCCTTTTATGACTGATTATACCTATTCATACCTTTTTTGTTTTTGCTTTTTATTTTTAATAAAGCTTATAACAATATAAAGTTGTTTTATTTTAATTTTTACAGGAAAAGTAGTCGCTATATAAGCCTGTCAATTTATTAAAAATGTATAAGCTGTTTTTAAAAATCTTAAGCGTGGTAGCACTGCAACTCTCAAGGCTTATTGTGGCACCACACTTGAAGGACATATCCATTCTCTCATGCATACTCTCTTTCATTTTCTTAATCATACATACGAATATAATGAAAATTGCATATGTACTGTCTCAGTTTTGAGTCCCCAACATGGAGGACAATTTATTAAAAATCTTCTATAATAAACGATTATACGTACTAATATGAAACTGATATTTGAAATGATATCTTTTTCAGAGGGTTACTTTGTTTTAGTAAAAAATAATTTTGCCAGGTAGTCGAAAATAAAAATGTACCTTTTACAGGTTAATTTGGAAAATTTAAGGCCACATTTATAACAACAAAAATCATTCTGATTCCATAAGCAAATAAAAAATTTTTTTGACGTTATATATACGCCTATAGGACATAGGTATACCTAGCTTTGTTAAAAATAAATATAATTCAAAACTAAAATTTTATTATTATTAGGGGGGTTGATAAAAATTTGGGAGGTTTAACATTTTCATTTTTAAAATTGTCTGGGTTCGCGTGTGTGTCTGGTGAAGGGTTTAACCCCTAAAGCCCCCCTCGTTGCGTCACTGAGTATCGGGTTCAGGAAGAAATTTAGGGGACGCTCATAGCCATAGATTACGGTAATGTGAACTCATAACTATGAAAATATGTACTTACCTAACTGTGCTTTTGTTCCACTTATTTTTATTATTTTGTATTTACCACCGCATACCTAGTTTAGTTTTAATACAATCTGCTCTGTTATTTTTCATTTTACCTATTTATTTTCTAAAACCTATATTTCAGAATTATTTGAACAAAGAAAAGCTACAGGTGCAACTTGCAAACAATATCATTAGCATGCAAAAACAAGTAAACCTATACCGACGATGGGGTAATGTCCAATTTTCGAAAAAAAAAACAAATTTTTTACTGAAAATAAAATGGCAAACAGTGGTATAGTTATTTTTATCCTTTTATAGTTAAATAAAGGCATTTAAAGATTTTGTAGGTTTTATGAATATGAATACATAGGTTTACGAAATTTAATCTATGCACTTCAAAATGTTTTCCATTCTAAAACGAGACAACTCATTATTTCATTTCACCATGATACTGCTATTTCACTACTTCATAAAAAATCGATTACTTAGTTCGAGTCATGATTCATCGTTCTCGAAATATCGAATTCTCCGTTTTCTGGAAACGTCTAGAAGAAGCACATTGTGCGCACATTGACGAATCACAAACGAGTTTTGATATCACTTCGCTTACAGTGTTGCCAGCCTAGTAAAATTGTACTAGATCTAGTACATTCGCAAACAGAAAAATAAAAAGTTCGCAAAGAATCTAATTTGGTACTCTACCCTCGAAGTAAAATGTAGTACTGTTTACCTCCCCGTCGTACAACGTGTAAAATATATTATTGTCTTCCTTGTTTTTGGCCGTTCTCTATAAAGACCTTTTTTTACTCTTCAATGAACCAAACCGTCAAGTAGAATTCGAAACATCTAGTACATTTTTGTTGAATCTGGTACATTTTTATATAAACTGGTACATAACAAAAAACATTCTGGCAACACTGCTTCGCTATCACGCCCTCGATCTCGTGATCTCGACCATTCCAGTAAAATCTTTGACAGTTCTCGAATAAACAAACAACAAGTTAGCTTATTATAAAATGGAAATCAAAGTAATTTCAGCATTAGTCGAATACAAATTCTACAGAAGTGCGATATTGAGTAAAAAGTGTTCACAAAGTTTTTATTTTAAAAGTTCATAATAGTTGAAAATGTTTTTATTACCAATCAAGAATGAGAGGCAGAGGACTCATTGCCCATTTCGTCGTGAAGCACCCAAGCAAGACATGTGGGATATTCTCCAGCCCTTAGCAATGATGAGCAGTCTCCTAGAATCTCCAGAATATTATAAAGATGTGAAAAATTATAACACAATTTTACAACAAAGTGAATCAGAAGTAACAGTCGACAAAGACAAATTCCAAGCTAATTTCGATGTCCAGCATTTCAGACCAGAAGAAATTACTGTAAAAGTTACAGGAGATAATATTATAACCATCGAGGCTAAACATGAAGAAAAACAGGATGAACATGGACAAATATACAGACATTTCATAAGAAAGTATCTACTTCCTAAGAACTGTGATATTAATCGAGTAGAATCTAAATTGTCTTCAGATGGAGTTCTTTGTATAACCGCTCCTATTAGCGACAAGACAGAACCTAAATCAATTCCAATTTCACAAACTGGACAGCCAGCTAGGTCTTTACAAGAGAAGGCAGTTGAAAATCCATCTTCAAGGAGTTAAGTTTACCTACACCTAGTTTTAATTTAATTTTCAAAGACTGAAGTTTGAGGAAACTCCATGTCCATTATTTATTAAAATTATATTTTAAGTTTAATAAATTTTTTTTTTGTATTGGTTTGCTTTATTTAGCACATACATTTTTAAAAGCTATTTAAAATAGAACTAACCTATATTATTAGTTTGTATAAATAAACAATTCTATGACTTGGTTTTCTAAAAGGGCTAATCACATAAAGAGTGTTTAAAGTTTTGAATTGAGTCTATAAATGTTTTCAAGCAAATTGTGTTAATAGCAAAGATGCAAAAACTCATACATGTGAAGTTCTAGTTAATTTTAGATTTTTACAGGCATTGGGTGAGTAGGATTTGACTCTAAATGTGCTTAATTATTTAATTAAATGAGTATTTTTCTATTAAAATGAATATGTTTGGTCAATATATCATTTTCTAACAATATACTGAAAATTTTGGAGCAAGAAATATCCTTCATATTGAATTTTATAGTAAGTGCTGTGGACAGAGTATCAACATACAGATTTATTTTAAATGATCAAAAAGGAGAACACTGGACACTTTTCAAGGAAGGACAGGACCTACAAAAGAAGGACTGTTGCTCCCTAACTCTAAATGAGGTCTCACCATAATATTCACTACCTTTAAGTCTAAAGCCTACTGTTCTCATACATACATCCAACAATATGATAAATCCTTCAAAAGGTTTTATTTTAACTATTTAAAAAAAATATGGCATTTTTTTACAAATCTTTCAACTATTTGTCACACAAAAGTTAAAATAATGTTGTCTAAAATTATGGATACCTACACCCCCCAATTATACCCAAAACAATACATCATTTCCTCAAAATTTTTGTTCGATAGAGAGGATATTGTATTAATAAAATGTTTTATTGAATACCTAATAGACATTAGACATTTTTTCACCAATAACTAACCAGCACTGTAGATCTGATAAAATTATGTAAAAGAACTTTTTAAAATTTCTGTCACTATAAATATAATGAAATGAAACAGTTTCATCAAAAGACTATTTTAAAGCAAACAATTTAATAAGAAAATATACAAAATAACTGGAAATCAAACTACATTCTAGGTAATAACATTAAACTCAGTCTAATATAAAAAATAACACATGAATGAACTGGTGGGACATACTTTTACATCTTGCTTTTCTGTTGGGCGTTTTCAGCTTTATTCTCAACTGATCTCGCAGGTTTCCCAGTTTGCGAAATAGGAATGTTCCTATCTACCTTATCACCAACAGTTGGAGCCGTAATACTGAGGACTCCGTCTGAAGACAACTTAGATTCCAATCGACTCATGTCACAATTTTTTGGAAGAACATACTTTCTTAAAAAGTGTCTGTAGATTTGTCCGTGCTCATCCTGTTTTTCTTCATGTTTCGCCTCGACAGTTATAGTATTTTCTCCGGTAACTTTAATTGTAATTTCCTCTGGTTTGAAATGTTGGACATCGAAATTTGCATGGAATTTATCTTTATCAAGCACCATTTGAGAACTCGTTTGCTGTTGCAAGGAGTTTAGACTTCTGAGGTATTCTGGAGACTCCAATAGGCTATTGACTAATGCCAAAGGTTGAATAACTTCATCCCACAAGTTTCTTCTCGGTGCTTCACGCCGGGCGTAGCTAGGAGCCATCCAACTATCGTCGAACAATAATGGTAGTAGAGACATTTTAAAACACTTTACTGAATCACTTTTAAATTAGCACTCGTCTATTGAAAACTTTACACTGTCTCAAATTAAATGAAACTGTTGACAATGCAGCACTTATTTTCGTTTTATATCGTTTGTTTTGTTTTCGCGAACTGTCAAGATATTTCCAGAATAAATCGGGAGGGAACTTGGAACTTGCTATTGGTTGGCGAAACGAGCACATGTTCTTTGGGGTTCTGGATCATTCGATTATTCGAGAAGCGATTAATCGATTATTTTAATCATTCGATAGTGGTATGTTATACAAGGTGGTTAATAATTTTATCTACAACCACCACAGTAATATCGTTTTGTTTATAAGTAAATACATCGTTACAGATACTGTTACGTAATGAAATCCCAAAACTGTTACGTAATTATATATATTACATAACAGTTTCATTTATCAAACTATCCAGATCCATACCTATTACTCCGTTGCTAGGTGATCGCCATAGTTACGATAAACAGTTCTGACATTTCAGAAATAGAAAAATCGCCATTGTTGTAGTTACAAAATTACTTTTTAAAGAATAAAATGAGTTAAAGCCTTTAAAATCACGGGCAAAGTAAACTAATTCTTTGAGAATGTGCTTTTGGCATATTTTGGGAACTCATGGAACAATTTAAACCTGCATCATTTTAGGCAATCGTCCAGAATCGTCATTTCCATATAAAATAAGGTGAATTTTGAAAAGTACCCAAAATTAAAAGCAGTCAGACGGTTTTTAAAAGCAAAAATTGTTTTGATGAAATAAGTAAATATTTAAATGAAGCTCTTGATTCACAATAATATTAACAAAGGTTGGTATTTGAAATAATTTTTCTTCAGTTAATTTAGTAGTTGCATTTGCAATATAATATTTTTAATTAGATGTATTTAATAAATATGTTATAGGTTACGAAAACCTTCTCGTTATTAAGAATGTATGATTGTAGTTGTAGATAAAGTATAGTACATTACTCGAGTTGTAAGAGCAATTACATGCTCGTAGAATTACTGCACTCGCCTGTAATTAGCTTCTTACTACTCTTGTTATGTAATATACTATAACTAACCATCTCAAATGGGTCTGAGCTACAGGGGGTAAAAGTTAAATTTTATATTTAGTTTTTTGCAATATTTTCGTTATTGACTTGAAATTTGTTATGGTTATATTCTTAGGCTAGTTAATCATAACACGATGTGGGCATTTTTAATTTTTTATGGTACGTGTTTTAATTTTTTAAACACCTAGCATAAAATCAACCTATTTCGATTGCAAGGCCTACTATGTTAAAATATTGTTAAATAAAATAAAAAGATACTGTGACTAAAAAAAATGTAAATGTAAATTTTTCTAAATGGGTTGAATTAATGCTATACGGTTTTCCATAAAGACTTCTAGTAGGTGGCGCCCAAAGAGGGCGCAACCTGATCATATAACATTTTTTGACATATATCTTTGGGTTTTATTTTACGTCTTCGTCACATTAGAGTTTGAATTATTTTCATTTTTTAATTATTTTTGGCATCGTTTTTAAAAATTTAATTACATTAGCTAGGATTTCTTTTTCACTGACTGAAAATGACTTACGATTAGGCATTTTGGCTAAATGAACAGTTATGATCTCAAAAAAAAACACGTTTCTAACCTAACCACTTATTATTAAGTTAATTATTTATTGAATACGACAAACACCGCTATATTCTCGAAGTCGTCCGACGTTTACCACCTCTCAAACTACCAATAAAGTACTCTTCAATTTTTGTCTACGCTCTACTTATATGTTTATTACATATTTGAAAATATATAGTGAATTAAAGCGGTAATATCAAATAATTTACCTAATATTCGTAATGTTCCCACAACTGCATTAGCTGTTAAAATCATAAAAGATGGAGCAGCACCTATGTATCTATCGTTTACTCCAAGAAGGCCAAAAATACTTGTAATAGCAAGCGCACAATGAGATATTGCCGCTTTATCTTGTTTGGAAAGTGTAGACATTTCCACAATAATATATATTATAATTCATCCTTTTTTAGAAACAGAAATCCCAAATATCTAAAAGTATTATTAGAATTATATTTGAAATTAGTAATTATGATGTACCTACGTACCGATAAATGTTTTTATATTTACATGAAAAGTGGTTTCTGACAATACTTGTCAAACATTTTCATTATGAAACCACAGAACTGAATTTAGGAGAATGTATTTGACAGTTTAAAAAAACGTTCCTTGTTTGAGTTTGCGTAGTAGGTGCTAAACAGGGCCGTAATTGAAAAAATTATACATGTTTTCAGAAAAAAATTAACGGCGGGTTGTACAATACGCGGTTAAAATTAAACCTCGTTTTAAATTTTGCTGTTATTGTACTACGATTAGTTAAAATGCTGGCCAAATTTGGGCGGTTAAAATTTTAACCTTTGATTTATAACCTAAAAAGGACGAGGGTTGATTCGGGTTTTTTTAATGCAAACTAAGTGCAATATTGAAAATGAATTTTAATTTGGAAGAATATACGAACGATGAAGATTTCAAAGAACTGATTAATATGAATGTTTATCCAAGGAGAAAAAAAATTATATGCATAAAAAACCAAATAGATTTTGTTTAGAGGAAAGAGTGCCACAATCAGACAGAAATCACATTGGATTTTTTTAAAATTTATTTTTAAATCGATTTTAAAACTGTAATTGGTCAAAACACTTATTTTAATATATGCTCTACTTCATTCATCAGTAAAAAAGTGGAGTTTTATACTGACTAAAACGGCAACTTCTGAAGAAATTGTGCAAACCATTCACAAACTAATTCTAAAAGATCGCAGATTAAAATTGGAAGAAGTAGCTGGAGGCTGTGGGCATATCAAAAGAGCGAGTTCACTATATTTTGTGTGAAGTTTTAGGTATAAGAAACCTATCCGCCCCATGGGTGCCGCGTTTGCTCACATCAGATGCTCACGCGGCTAACCATTTCAGAGGAGAATTTGGCACTGTTTAGACGTGATCCAAGGGACTTTTTGCGTAGATTTATTACAGTTGATGAAACATGGGTTTATCATTATACCCCTGAAACTAAACAACAATCCAAACAGTGGACGGCAAAGGACGAACCAGTTCCAAAGAAGGCAAAGGCAGTACCGTCTGCTGGAAAGGTCATGGCAACGGTCTTTTGGGATGCTAAAGGGATACTCCTAATAGATTATCTCGAAAAGGGTAGAACAATAAATTCCGAGTACTACAGCGACTTACTGGACCAGCTTAAGCAGAATATAAGCGAAAAACACCCTGGTTTGGCAAAAAAGAAAATTCAGTTTCATCAGTCTGTTCTTGTAATGGCTAAAATTCATCAGCTAGGCTTTGAACTGTTAAACCATCCTCCGTATTCGCCAGACCTAGCCCCGTTAGACTTTTGTTTTCAAACCTAAAAAAATTTCTTGCTGGCAAAAAAATGTCCACGGATTTAGAAGTAATTGCAGCCACAAACGCCTATTTTGACGAGTTGGATAAATCAGACTACAGTGACGGTATAAATCGCTTGAACATCGTTGGGTCAAATGTATTACCCTACAAGGGGACTATGTAGAAAAATAAATTCTTATTCAGTCACTATTGTGTTACGTTCTATGTTAGACCGAAAACTTTTCATCCCATCCTCGTAGAAACACTTTAAAAAAGCACAGTCGAATAAAAAGTTACAAAAATAATCCAAAAAATCTAAAAGCCATGTACAAACAACACAGACATTTATAAATAACTGGTCCGGCAATGAAGTAACACTGAAATGTATGAGATTGACTAATCCTAATAGAGAAGTTTAGTATCGTTGTGTACATAGTGGTTAAGGCATTTATGTACAGAAGAAATTACAATGTCTGGGTTAGCACCATGCTTTGATTTTCTTAATGTCACAAGATATGGTGTTATAAAGAACGCAGGGGTCACTGATGTGCAATAAAATCGTTGCAATTTTAAGTTAAGTAATTTATATAAAGAAGGAATAAAATGTAACTAAACACAGAACCCTGAGGGACTCCCAAACTTGAGAGTCCTTACTAGTTCTTATCATTTGCTTACGTTCTGAAAGATAAGATTTTATCAGCGATTCAGTAAACTCAGTTTTTGCAACAATAATGTATGATTGAAACAATTCCACTAAACATGAAACATTACCAGTCTTTTTTGTAACATTTCTCATAGAGACTTTTCTTGATATTTTTAAAACAATGCTAAAATATCCCATAGATGTTTAAATTTTAACATCATATTCATTAACATTCCTCGCATATATCTACAAACGAAGTTTTATGTACGGTGGAATACTTCAATTAGCAGTTACATAAACATCTTTTGTACTTCTTTTTAGTTACTTCCTGTGACAAACATTTATAGGATGTTAATTTGTATAACTCACAATAATATCGCATACAGGTCAGCACAGAAATGTGTACAAGTTACACATCTTTAAGATGGCTACCTTTAGTCTTTGCATCGCAGACCTGGCAGACTTAACAGTTCGTCCCGCGTTCATAAATGGAGATATCAATGATCGCTTGCTACTTACGTAACCGGTAGTACTGTATTATGGAGGAGTCTGATGCTCAGTGTTAAGTATTTCATCAAAGTTCTTACTTTTACCTTTGATATTGATTTAGACCATTGTATTGTTAGAAACGAAGGGGGTAGAAATATTAATTAAAATTAAAAATCCAAACATGAGTAAACACCACTATAATCGTATAAATATTGAATACAAAAAACACAAGTAATGACGTAACGAGTAGCCAGTAATTCTGCGCAGAGAGATCGACCACGTTGATTGTACTTTTCAGAATGCTCCTATGAAACACCAACATGATGCCGACGAAAAGCCCGGGTATTCACGCATCGTCATCAATACGTACTTATCTCCCTGACCAGAGGCGACTCTAGGTAATATTGCTAACAGTATTATAATACTTTTTCTGTAAAATTTCCTGGGATTAGAATAGAAAACTCGCGTATCGGGGACAACACTAATGATTTGTAATTGCTGTAATGGGAAGTGTTTGTGTGAATAGGCCGTGTTTGTTTTCATTTACGCCGTGACTAGCAGTGGTATTTTAGAAACCTTAGAAGCAAATTTCACATACATGAACAAATAGTAATAATGCCGTTACGACTTCTCGTAGGGTGGCGGCTTCGCCGCCACCAGAAAATTTCAATCCATTCCTGGCTACGCCGACCGGCATAAACACCAACAGCCTCGACACAGCTCACCTACTCTGTCAAAAGGAGACCGTTGTACAAATAAAACGAGTACATGCGCACTACAAATCATTAGTGTTGTCCCAGATACGCGAGTGAATAGAAGTTTAACTTGTCTTCTAAGCTTTTAACTTCAAGTTTATTTATTTCTATTCTGTTTTATATAGATGAAATATATAAAATATTTATAGTTCATATAAAATTTAGAGTTCATTAATATGATTTTATTTTATGGGCTTTATAATAACATCTACAAGAAGTAAAAAGACTTTCTTAGATATAACAGGAATATCACATCTGGTTTGTTAAAAATACATTTTTGGGAACTTCCAATAACGTTGAATAACGTAACAAAGTAGCGCTATAATATCACCGGAACGTCTACATTGTTTCATCACAAAAGTAAACGTTCCTACTCTGGGCTTAGACGGTTATGAGTCCATCCTATAGATGAAAACAAGAGTAAAAATGAGAGTTACAATGTGATGTAAAGTTCTCATTAATTTAACGTTTTTATGCATAGTGGGAATCAAACGCCTTGGGCAAATCATAGAATACCTCCGCTTAATTAGAATTAATTTTAGAGAAGAATATAGCTTTGTCCCAACATCTCACAAAACCGTAATATTACGGTCATCGTCATGCGTAGTAAATAAAAACCTATCAATAAAGCCCAAAGTCGAACGGTTTTTATTTACTGCGCATGACGATGACCGTAATATTACGGTTTTGTGAGATGTTGGGACAAAGCTAATATCGTAACAAAAAATGGGCGGGGGATCCAGCCCTGATAATAATTGATATAGGCAATCAATAATGCATATGTGTAATTTTCGATGTATTTCCTCCAAAATCTCCGTAATGCGCTTGCGTTTTAATGTCGCTAAACATCGCAGAGCTGTTCCATTTGTGATTAGATCGGACGGATCGCGTAGCATTTCACTACTGGTAGGGATTTCAGTAACTAGACAGACAGTGGCGGTTCGAAGAGTAGGCGTGTACAAAAAAAAATATGCATTATAAATATACTGGACAGGAAAGGCGCAGAGAGTATGAAATTACAAAAAAAAAAAAACATTAAAATACGCTTTATTTACCAAAACATTGTAACACTGAAAATGGTTATACAAAAATAGACATCAAACAATGATATGCTTACATCACAAATCCACCAAGCTGACACTCTTGCAGATATTACAGTCTCCTTGAAGAATATAATTTAAGGACATCGTTTTAATTGTGTCATTTTATAACATTCCTTCATTTTAATGTATTATTGAATCTATATGATTTCTACAAAATTTTCCATCTCAGAAGATTCCTTAGAAATAAAAAAGAGTTGACTGGCAATAAAAATAAAAAGTTATAGTTATATTTTTTTCTCATAATAAAATTTTGAAAATTATCTTCGACCAACTTTTTTTTAAGTTAAATTATTTACATATGTCATTAAAACAAAAAGATAAAAAATATCTACCATTCTTATATATTTTTTAAGCAATCTTATGAAACATGATTTAGGAATGTAAAACTTAAGAGGCAATGGTGACATGGTGTGAAAAGTTTAAATGTTTTGTTTTTATTAAGAATATTATTTTGCTGACTAATTATATATGTCCAATTTAATGTCATTATTCATAAAATCCTGTAAAGCACAAAAATGTTACTATTATTCAAAATGTTTAAGGTTAAGGTAAATTTTTATTGATGAACACAACAAGGCAGCATTACTTCCTAAGGCTATAAATCATATTTACATTATTTTTTAAAAAAGCCTCGATTATATATATTTTTACAATTATTACCAAAAAATAATGCATGATATTTAGAACCGGATTAATCAAGTATAGCCCTTAGAGCAAAATATGAAAAAAAGCACATTGCATAATTGCACAAATCCTGAGTAGGTATTTTCAAACTGTTATCGCCAGATTCCTTGACAAAGAACGAGATCATAATGTATGACGCACAAGTTGCCATTCCATAATAGTTGTCATTTATAAAAGACAGCCATGCAATTCCAGCGCAACCTAAAACTGCTATGAGCTTTTCCGATTCAGTCTTAACAGTTTCATAGCCAATAAGGTAAGATAATAACGGAATAACAGGTACGCTCAGGGTTGCATAGATATAGTCCCTCGGGTAGCCATATTTTTCCAATAGTGTGGCAGCAACTAAAGGAAGTACAAATAAATCTTGCACCGCTGTAGTAAATCCGTACAAAGGATCGATACTGGCGCCATATAGTGGATTACCTAAAATTTTATTTTAAATTATATATTTCAAAAATTATAAACTAATTCCTTTTAATTTTTTAAAGAAAGAACTGAACAAAATTGATCACCTACATAATACAAATCTGTAAGGTGGGGGAGGGTGGATTGATCCTACATCATTTAAGCCTCATTAAGCTCATTGTGCATCCTGATGTGACATATGAGAGTTTTCAATAATCTGGAAAATCTCCCATAGGTATCCAATGATTTGTTAAAAATAAAAAACAGGATGAGACAAAATAAAGCTGCAATTTTTCAGGGGCAAGGGGAATTCACATCAATACCTGGTCCCTTTCTTGTATCAAGAATAGCTAATTTCTCATATGTCAGAATACTCAAGAATAGACTCAATTTGTTTTTTCTTTTTTATTACATTATTACAATTTTTTTTTTACTTTTAGTTTTTTTTTGTAATGAACAGGTCATAGCGAAATTAAAAAGACAAAAACTTTTATATTTAAAACATTCAAGGTGAGAAGACGTGTAAGTTTCACTGCACAAATAAATCTATATTTCTACCGATATAAACTATATAATATTAAAAAAAAAAACAACTAGTGAATTAAATAAAATGTGATAGTACTATAGTGTAGTAAATAAACTGTTTAGGTGAGTCACAGTTGCATAGATTAATGTATTATCTCTGCAATTTCACAAATACAATCTACCAAGGAAACAAAAAACGTAAAAAAGTATTAAACCTTATCAGATGACAAAAAAGTTTAGGTGAAATAAAATAAACACCAATACTTTCTACTAAGCAATCATACAAATAGAATATCCAGTGGCGTACCCACATTTAGTTTATAAAATAAGAAAATGATTTAATAAGAAAAATGGCAATGAAATGCTCACAGTGTGAGATTATTCATCAGCCTACAAAAGAACAAAAATATCCATGCTCTACATGTGATGGATGCAGTAGATTATACTGCAACCAATGTTCTGAATTATCAACCACAGAAATTAGGTGTATACCACTACGAACTAGAATTCTGAAATTTAATTGTGCAAAATGTAGGAATTATGAACTGACTGATTTCCTAAAGAAGATTAATGATGATAAGGATGAAATAATAAGAAGTAAAGATGAAATAATAAATAGTAAAAATGAAATAATAAAAATGCTTCAAGAGAAAATTAAAGAATTTGAAGAAAAAGAGATAAATATTGTGACTACCATTTATGCTGATATGGCGAAGTTACAAAAAGAAGACAATGGGCGAAAATCTAACCCTCCAAAAATTATTATTAAACCGAAAATACCACTGAGTGGAAACAAAACAAAAACATATTTAGGAACAAATATTAACCTAACTGACTTAAAAGTTGGAGTGAAACAATTAAAGATGGGAAAGAATGGTTCTGTTATACTTTCCTGTCAAACAAAAAAAGAAGCTGAAATTCTGGAAAAAGCTGTTCAAGATGAATTAAAAGATTCATATGATGTAGATCTGACAAAAATGAGAAAACCCAGAATGAAAATCTGCAATTTTACAGAGAATATGACCAAGGAAGAAATTGACAAGTACATTGTGAAACAGAATGACACAACAGGTGAAATAAAAACCACATATATCAAAAAAACGAAAAAAAGGCTTCAATACTGTATACTGTGAATGTTCAGGAACTGCATTTAAACAATTGATACAAAGGAAAAAAATATGTATAGGATGGGAAAGACTTCCGGTTTATGAAGATTTGGAGATACCCAGATGTTTTAAATGTCAAGGTTTCTACCATAAAAAAGAAAATTGTAAGAATGCAATCATGTGCCACATCTGTAGTGAAGAACATGGCTTGTGTCCAAAGAATAAAATACACTGTAAGAACTGTAAAACTTCTAATTTGATGATCCTCATCTCCACAGTTTGACCTGGATATACTCCTGATCGATCAAAAAATACAAACTTTCGAGTAAACTCTGGTCCTAAACTATTTTAGGTACTAGAAATGACCTTACCTTCATACCCAAAGGCATTAGTAAAAGGAAATCTTAATAGTAACTCTATAACTTTTTTTAAACCAACTCACTCCCATTTGAGTATTGCTTTCTAGCTTATATTGGTGGAAAAATTATGTAATTTTTAATTTTAATACTTTAAAAACAAACTATATTCGCTTTGACATTAGCAAAGCGTTCAATAGCAGACTCTGTATAGTAGATATTTTCAATTCTGTCTTCTTATGAACAGTAATAACATAATTTCTAAATACGTACCAAACCTCCAAACTCCAATAACTGAATTAACAATAACAATTATAAAGGAACATCTTGATATATGGTAAGCAAAGGCACAGCTGCAGATGCTGGTAAGATGTTGAAAACAATAAGTTCCTGTGCCAGCTAATATAATGTGAGAAAATGCTGTAGAATAACTGGCTTCTCCTGAAGACGGCCTGGAACCACCACCACCACCTCCTCCTCCTCCGCCACCGGGTTTTCTCCCGCCGCCAGCACTTGAGGGATTCCTTGTTGAACCTCTACCTGCCATTATTTCATCGCAATCTACCATACTCTCAATTTAGTAAGAATTAAACTCCATTGACACAGAGTTTGTCAATAAAATGGGTTTTCTCTATTCTACAAGATTTTATGCATTCAAAAACCTGAAATATAATACTAGTAAAATATTTCATTACCTAATTTCATGCATTTAAGCGCTGTCACACATAATTTAAATATTTAAAATATTTTGAACCGGGAAATAATTTTGACAAATTCCACTTCCACTTGCTAATTTTTTGTTGAAATTTCGTAATACTGTCAATTGTCAATAGTCCTCAAGTCAAATGATAGTGAATCGAATAAAAATCGATTATTTAGATCATAACTTCATGTGGCGCCTGATGCGTGATACCGTGATATGACGTCAAAATAATACGTATTACCCAAAATAGTTACCATGGCAACGATCTCACAATCATCTGTCATGCAAACCCAATGATATACACAGTTATATAGATTGCTCACCCATAAATAAATAAATAAATAAATCGTCTGCCTAGCAGTGCTCACTGGTCAGAATCGGTCTAGCCCAAATGTGTTTTAAATTCAAATTTTATCCTTTATAAAGAGTAAAATATAATTATCTAAATGTTTAAACATTTTTGTATTTACTGTTAAAGAATTTAAATTTGAAATACAAGGTACTGAAATAACTAGAGATATCTACTGGATACTGTAATTTATATTAAAACAAAGATGGAAATATATTTTAACACAAATATTATAACAATATAAACATTTCTTCTTTTTATTGGAGGTTATATCATTTTAAATAAAAAATAACAAAATCAAAGTCATCTTAAAATTTCCTAAAATTCAAATTTCGTTCAGAAATTCCCCAACTTAAATTAAATTTGACATATGACGTTAAATATGTTACTTTACCATGGTATGTGTGACGTCACCATCCCACTAAACATGAATCATTACCAGTCTTTTTTGTAACGTTTCCATAAAGACTTTTCTTGATATATTTTTGAAACGATACTAAAATATCCCATATATATTTAAAGTTTAACATTATATTCATTAACATTCCTCGCATATATCTACAAATGAAGTTTTATGTACGCTGCAATACTTGAATTAGCAGTTACATAAACATCTTTAGTACTTCTTTTTAGTTACTTCCTACGACAAACATTTATACGATGTTAATTTTTGTAAATCACAATAATATCGCATATAGGTCAGCACAGTAATGTGAACAGATGGCTATCTTTAGTCTTTACATCGCAGACCTGGCAGACCTAACAGTTCGTCCCGCATTCATAGATGGAGATACTACCCAGACAACACACCAAATCCCAGAGATAGCCACAGAATATCTTTTGTGGACATCCAATATATCGACAGGATATCAGAAATATCCCGTGGATCTAATATGGATATCCAAATGTCCGTCTATATCCAGAATATAGAAGATATCCTATGGATATCCAGCAAAATATCTAATGGGTATCTTCCAGACAATATAAGAAATCCCAGAGATATCCACAGAATATATTTTGTGGATATCCAATATATCCAGGGGATCTAATATGGATATCCAAATGTCCGTCTATATCCCAGTTTATAAAAGATATTCAGCAAAATATTTTATGGGTATCTTTAGTAGAGGTTCATAAGTAACCAATGATTATTGAATAATGTCGAAAGAAAATAACAGAGATAAAAATATTTTCAACACTCTGCCTCTGATTTTGCTATATTTGCTATATAATTACTATTATTTCTGAACATTTGCATGTCTAAAAATTACATCTCATAGATATAAAATAGATATCCACCGTGGACTGGACATTCAGTGGATATTGGAATGTCCAGTATATATCCAAAGGATTTGGTATGCTGTCTGGGTATTGATCGCTTGCTACTTACGTAACCGGTAGCACTGTATATTATGGAGCAGTCTATTGCCCAGTTTTAAGTATTTCATCAAAGTTCTTACTTTTACCTTTGATATTAATTTAGACCATTGTGTTATCATACTTTTTCTGTAAAATGGGATTAGGAATTAGAAGTTTAATTTGTCTTCTAAGCCTTTACCTTCAAATTTATTTATTTTTATTTTGTTTAATATAGATAAAATATAAAATATTTATATAACATGGTGCATATAAAATTTAAAAGATAAAAATAAAAAGATATGAACTGTATCGTATTTGGAACGTCACATTTGATTCATTAATATAATTTTATTTTATGGGCTTTTATAATAACATAAGGAGTAAAAAGACTTTCTTGGATATAACAGGAACGTCACATTTGGTTTGTTAAAAAGACATCATTTTTGGGAACTTCCAATAACGTTGAATATTGGAACAAGGTAGCGCTGTAATATCACCACAACGTCTACATTGTTTCATCACAAAAGTAAACGTCCCTCTGGGCTTAGACGGTTATGAGTCCGTCCTACAGATGAAAAGAAGAGTGAAAATGAGAGTTACAATGTAATAAAGTTCTCATTAATTTAACGTTTTTATGCATAGTGGGCAGATTAATTATAATACTGCTACAACCAAGTATGTTGTAATAAGCTGTTATAAAGAAATGCCTTATGTGCTCATTAATCATCAGAATCGGTTACGAAAAAATGTGTTTTAAAACAAAATTTCAGACTTTAAAAATAGTACAAAAATAATTACGTCAAGACATAAGCTTATGTTAGGTATTCTGGTTGGTGGGCACCATTCACAGTTAACGTAAGGCCGATTCCCAATAAATCATCCTGTATATAGATATGCCTTGAAGTAAAAATGTGTTAATATTGTTATATTTAAAAGCTGAAATTTGGTTTTAATACACACTTTTGCTAAATCGATTCTGGATAAATGATCACTTATTGAAGCAATATGGCCACTCGCAATGCGACCCACTTTTACCAATCTTAATTTTTATATATAGCATTGACTCTGTCAGAGGCCATCGCGTCAAATGTCATATTGTCAACTAGCAAATGTCAATGTCGTGTTGTTTGTTGTTTAATTTTAATTTTTAATGGGTATTAAAAATGAATATTCAACTTAGGTAGATTAAACTCCGAAATAAACTATCATCATCATCAACAAATCTTTATTTACATATTTACATTTTTACAATATATTTTACAATATAAGTATATATTTAACAGACGGATATCTTCTACGGGTGTCCGAAGTATTCCTATTCTGCGATATGACCGATGTCGTGGCCGTATACCTATATTGTTCAATTTATTCTTATGATTTTACGTGATCCCTCCTTGCTGTATAACAACATTATAGATCAATATAGGCTATTAACCAGGTCAGTAATGGAATAGTAATGAGTTTTTGTATGATTTTAATTGTGTCTGTCGTCCCTGAAAAACCAAGTGAAAAAACAGGGTTGTCCTAAGTGTATGTTTACGTGTTAATTTGTGCATGAATTAGTCAAATCACAAGACTACACCGTTCAACCATCGCTCGACACAAAAGTTCCGGCAAGCCAAAAATTTCGCACCGAGCAATGACGTCACCGTGCAGTCTTCCGTCCGACTATAGTTGGCAACTAATCGTCGTAATGATTTGACTATTCAGTGTGGTCGTCGCTGCTGAGGAGGATGTACGTCAATTTTTATCCTGTTTTCTGTCGTATATGTCCGTAATGAGTGCATACTGCAGTCATTCATGCCCATGCTCACGCCAATTTCCCCGAAAAACATAGAAATCGAAGAAAACTATGCTTAACTGAGAAAAAGCGCTTCCGCAGTCGCATAAACAACCACAGTAGCATTTTACAATGTATTTTAACGAATGTTACTGATTTTACTGTGATGTAAGTTGAAATTTAGTTCATAAGCTTGAAGTTAATGTCTACGTCCGTCATGAACGCGTTGTAAGTTTCTATAATCTCTCTTCCCGTTGTGCATTTAATGAGTTTGGCGTTCAGTGCTCTGACTGCCCTGGTTAATTCGCCTATATTGATTATGGAGTTAAGTGTCTGAAACTCATTGTTGAGGGCCGTGAAATCGTCCATGCCTACGTTGGGGGTAGTATTTCTAGAAATTTCTGGTCTTCTGGGTGGAATTCTTAGTGGTTCTGTGTATTCCATAGAATTTCTGCTGGGCAATGCTGGGAAATCATCCTGAATGTTGCGGTTTCGTCTCCTGGCCTCCCATTGGTTGATGGCAGGTTGAGGGGCGGGTACAAATTTTTGGTTTGTATTTTGTTTTGGTCGTCTTTCCAACATACGCTCAAGCTTTGTAGTATAGTTTTCACATTTGGAGTAGTTCGCGGGGTGGTCTCCCCCGCAATTTGCACACGTTGCTGGAGTGTCAGGAGTTTTAGAGCAGGTGGTAGTGTGATGGTCCCCGGCGCATTTTAGACAGCGGGGTTGCCTGCCACAATTAGCCGTAGCATGCCCCCACTGTTGGCAATTGTGGCACTGTATAATCATCTTTGTGGATTTTCTCAATTCCCAGGAGACTCTGGTATAGAGAACTCTTTTGGCATTCTTGTTGAGATAATCTAGCGTGATTACGGCGTCAGTGATCACTAAGTATAAGGGCCTTTCTTTAGTTTTCATTTTGTATATCGCTTTTGTTGTTATTTCGTGCTCCTCCTCCAAGTTCTGCTCGATGTCTACAATTTTGGTTCCTTGTGCGAGTCCTCTGAGGACGAAGGCATGCGTTTTATCATCTCGTGGGGTGTACGTGTGGTAGGGCATTTTTTCCGTTTTGATATTTGCTAACACTCGCTCATAGTCGTCCTTGGTTTCCACAAAAATGATAGTGGTATAGTTAGTGTGTTTAACACTGAATTCCCCCTTAACTATACCTTTCAAATCTTGTATGAGATTTCTTTGATTTGAAGTTCTGCCGTCTATGACTATAGGCGGCATCATGTTTCTATTTTTGTGCGTTGACTTTGCTGTAGTTGTGTTGGGTAACGTCTGTCTGGTATCTTTACTCACTGTTGGTAGGTTTTCTATATCTAGCGGCTTAAAGTTGGCACCTTTCTTCCGTTTTTTTACTATTTTGCCGATCTCATCATCAATGTCAGAATCGGAATCGTCTGTGAGTGGCTGAAATTTGTTGTTAGTAGTAAGTGTTTTCCTGGTTTTTTCCTTTATAAGGTTTTCAAAATTTCTGCTAAATTTTTTGGGGGTTAGGAACGGCTCTTCGTTTGTTTTATTTGCAGGGGGTTGGTCTACGTCCATCCTGTTTTCTCGTTCGTGCCTAGCACGATCCCTTTCATTTCTGCGTTCGAACAGACTGTTCGGGGAGTGTGGGAGGTGATCAAAAAATTCGTCATAATTTTTCTTGGTAGGTTCTTCTTCCGAGGTAACATTGTTCGGATCAAATTCGTGTATGTTACTTGCCACACTAAAGGGGATGTCTGAGTTTTGTACCTGTATTTTAATTCTTGGGTTGCTGTTTATCCTAGTAGTGAGTCTAGGATCGACTCTGGTAGTTGTGCGACTTCTAGCCTCAGTGAAGGTGGGATTTGATAAGACTGGAGGTGCGGTAACTTTCCCTTCAGAGCGGTTACTCAGTTCGCCACTCTTCGGGGTGTTTTCCGCACTACCCATGGCTAAATGTATGGCAGGGATTTTTGGTAGTTCCTCAAGTTGATTGGTTTTAAAATTCAGTAGATTTGCCATCACATTAGTAGGGAGAGGGAGTGTGATAGTGCTGCCTAACAATGAGTTCGGGTCCGTTTGGTAGTAGAATTCAAATTTGTCCGGGGTGTTTTCCCCAGGTTCCTTACCAGTTGAGGTATCCATTTGACTGGTAATAGTTGATTCTTCTGATGTATTAATAATAGTTTCCTCGGAGTTTTCGAGCACATCTATTAGTCTTTGAGTGGTGTCATCATATGGAGTGTCATTTAGCCTTTCAACACTATCATGGTATTCAATGGAGTCTCCAGAGTCAGCCACTGAGGGCTTTCTTGTGGCGTTCGTATCCCCTTCTGAGGTGTTTTCTGAAATTACTGCCTCTCCAACAGTTTGAGGGTCGTTTGAAGGTCGAATCGTGAAAATTTCGACCTGGGGAGCTTTGGATTCAGTTACTTCGTTATCAGAGTCTTGAAATAGTTCCAAAGTGTTGGTACTCACATACTTTTGGCCAGTTCGCTTGATTTTGGCTTTAATAGACTTGGGCAAGGTCAGTTTCAGTATTTTGTCGTACTGCGAGTGTTTAAGCCGGCATTTGTTCTTGAGCTTTCTCGTATATTCTGTGCTGAATCCTTTGGTGGGTGATGGGTAGAATACTATTGGAGGCCCGGTGGGCTCCGACATTCACGGTTCACAACCGATACTATGGTTCAATACTTAACCTGGCTAGACGTTACTATGAAAATTCAGAAATTTGGGAGTTTGACAGCTGTCACTGATAACAATATTAAAATTTGCGTAGACTCTGAGTCAACCGTACCTATTCACAGCAATAGGTGTACCATGGTATGTGTGACGTCACCATCCCACTAAACATGAATCATTACCAGTCTTTTTTGTAACGTTTCCATAAAGACTTTTCTTGATATATTTTTGAAACGATACTAAAATATCCCATATATATTTAAAGTTTAACATTATATTCATTAACATTCCTCGCATATATCTACAAATGAAGTTTTATGTACGCTGCAATACTTGAATTAGCAGTTACATAAACATCTTTAGTACTTCTTTTTAGTTACTTCCTACGACAAACATTTATACGATGTTAATTTTTGTAAATCACAATAATATCGCATATAGGTCAGCACAGTAATGTGAACAGATGGCTATCTTTAGTCTTTACATCGCAGACCTGGCAGACCTAACAGTTCGTCCCGCATTCATAGATGGAGATACTACCCAGACAACACACCAAATCCCAGAGATAGCCACAGAATATCTTTTGTGGACATCCAATATATCGACAGGATATCAGAAATATCCCGTGGATCTAATATGGATATCCAAATGTCCGTCTATATCCAGAATATAGAAGATATCCTATGGATATCCAGCAAAATATCTAATGGGTATCTTCCAGACAATATAAGAAATCCCAGAGATATCCACAGAATATATTTTGTGGATATCCAATATATCCAGGGGATCTAATATGGATATCCAAATGTCCGTCTATATCCCAGTTTATAAAAGATATTCAGCAAAATATTTTATGGGTATCTTTAGTAGAGGTTCATAAGTAACCAATGATTATTGAATAATGTCGAAAGAAAATAACAGAGATAAAAATATTTTCAACACTCTGCCTCTGATTTTGCTATATTTGCTATATAATTACTATTATTTCTGAACATTTGCATGTCTAAAAATTACATCTCATAGATATAAAATAGATATCCACCGTGGACTGGACATTCAGTGGATATTGGAATGTCCAGTATATATCCAAAGGATTTGGTATGCTGTCTGGGTATTGATCGCTTGCTACTTACGTAACCGGTAGCACTGTATATTATGGAGCAGTCTATTGCCCAGTTTTAAGTATTTCATCAAAGTTCTTACTTTTACCTTTGATATTAATTTAGACCATTGTGTTATCATACTTTTTCTGTAAAATGGGATTAGGAATTAGAAGTTTAATTTGTCTTCTAAGCCTTTACCTTCAAATTTATTTATTTTTATTTTGTTTAATATAGATAAAATATAAAATATTTATATAACATGGTGCATATAAAATTTAAAAGATAAAAATAAAAAGATATGAACTGTATCGTATTTGGAACGTCACATTTGATTCATTAATATAATTTTATTTTATGGGCTTTTATAATAACATAAGGAGTAAAAAGACTTTCTTGGATATAACAGGAACGTCACATTTGGTTTGTTAAAAAGACATCATTTTTGGGAACTTCCAATAACGTTGAATATTGGAACAAGGTAGCGCTGTAATATCACCACAACGTCTACATTGTTTCATCACAAAAGTAAACGTCCCTCTGGGCTTAGACGGTTATGAGTCCGTCCTACAGATGAAAAGAAGAGTGAAAATGAGAGTTACAATGTAATAAAGTTCTCATTAATTTAACGTTTTTATGCATAGTGGGCAGATTAATTATAATACTGCTACAACCAAGTATGTTGTAATAAGCTGTTATAAAGAAATGCCTTATGTGCTCATTAATCATCAGAATCGGTTACGAAAAAATGTGTTTTAAAACAAAATTTCAGACTTTAAAAATAGTACAAAAATAATTACGTCAAGACATAAGCTTATGTTAGGTATTCTGGTTGGTGGGCACCATTCACAGTTAACGTAAGGCCGATTCCCAATAAATCATCCTGTATATAGATATGCCTTGAAGTAAAAATGTGTTAATATTGTTATATTTAAAAGCTGAAATTTGGTTTTAATACACACTTTTGCTAAATCGATTCTGGATAAATGATCACTTATTGAAGCAATATGGCCACTCGCAATGCGACCCACTTTTACCAATCTTAATTTTTATATATAGCATTGACTCTGTCAGAGGCCATCGCGTCAAATGTCATATTGTCAACTAGCAAATGTCAATGTCGTGTTGTTTGTTGTTTAATTTTAATTTTTAATGGGTATTAAAAATGAATATTCAACTTAGGTAGATTAAACTCCGAAATAAACTATGATAGCATATGACTATAATATGACTAGTTTGGATTTTAAAAATATAATGAAGTAAGTGTCTTTTAAAATCAACTTGTTTTTAATTATAATCTCGTTTTGTTTATTTACCATATATCTTAATTAACAAAGGAGAAAATTGAGTAAATTAACTTCACAATAATTAAAAGAACAAATGCGATGGAAGAGATCTTGAAGTAAATAAAATGAAAAATATGATTCTTTTTATAAAGTTTTAAACATAATACTGATTTTACTAATAACTACAACTGTAGATTCTAAATAAATGATAAAAAAAAGATTGTAGTAGCTCTTTTACAGTAAATATTTAAGTTATTATAAAATATTTTTAGATAAAATGGGATGTATTGGTAGTAAAACAGATATTAACGATAGACACCCAAATATTTTTCAAGTAACTAATGTTAATGACCAAGGTAGGAGAATAAAATCAGGTAAACTTCAAGTCACAGACACTGATTTAGTATTTTACCAACGAGGAAAAAAACCAACCAAGTGGCCTCTTCGAGCTCTCAGAAAATATGGGTTTGACATGGAAATTTTTAGTTTTGAATGTGGAAGGAGATGTCCCACTGGCCATGGCATCTATGCGTTTAAATGTAAAAAGGCAGAACTGCTGTTCAATGTTGTACAACAACGCATATCAGGTATATGTTCTTTCAGGATGTAATTACCTACAGTATAATTTTTTTGATTAGATTAAAAATTTTGAATATATTTTTCCCATCTCAAATCGTATGGGAGAACTATAAATTGTGGTGGCAAATCTATAGCCATGTGTCATAAATAAAATGATAGGTAGAGAATCACTGGTCAAAAGTTGTCTGTCTTCTTGAACAGTGTTGCTAAATCAAAAATTTACAACCTAAAAAATATTTCCATTATAACTAGTCCAAAATAGCAGTGTAGTCAATAGAAATGAAAATAAAAATGAATTCCAAATTGGGGTTGAAGTGGGAGCAAGTTTCCCTGTAAATGATGAAATATTCTCCACATCACTAATTCCAGATATTATGTACCCATTGCTCACTTTCAAAAACAGATACAATTTGTTCAAGAATCATTTCTAAGAGTGAACTGAAATCCTCAAAAATTTATAATTCATTCTGAGCCTTTATTTTTACTCCGATTTTAATGAAATTTTTAGGAAATACCAATAATAACAAAACTTAGAGTGGAGAAACCTTGAATTTTTGTTAAAACCTTCCAAAAGTATTTATTTTGAATTTTATTAAAAAGCAATAAAAAATCATTTACTTGCCTTTCTGTATTAAATCTATAAAAATTTGCTTTTTGTTTTAATAAATATCTAGTAGTTTTTAAATGATTTCCCACCTTTTTTCTCAAATGTTTCTCTATATAGTGCTGTCTTATTGTTGATCAAATTTAAAGCTCACATAATATCATGAAGTATTCCTAGAGGGGCGCATATAAATACAATTTTGTATTATAAAACATTTTTGCTTTTGCGAGAGGTATGATTTGCTCTTAAATATATTAGATTCTATTAAACTTGATGGCTCAGGAATAAACATATTATTTTCTTTGACTGACACTACTGAACTATAAAGAAAAGAAAGTTATAATGAATTAGGTTCATTTTGATAAATGTATTGTATGCATTTTAATTGGCACCTTAGGAATATGTGTACAATCATTTTATACTTTTTTTAACCGACTTTTTTATATATGTTCAGCAATAATTCTTTACAAAGTCCGATTTCTATGATTCTTTTTTGTCAGATATAAATTTGGTCAATATCTGATAATGGGATACCTATGTTAAATTCTTCATTTTTGAAGTATTTTTTTTAAATTACCTTTATACTTGTATGGATTTTTAAGGGTGCTTTAATGACCAGCTTTGTTTGCACTGATTACACTACAAAAATAGGCATATTTACAAAAAATAATGACATATATGCAAATATAGTAATACATAAATTAATATATCTTTCATTAGTGCATAATTGCTCGATAAATCAATTTGTGTTACAAACACAGACAAGTTTTAACAGGTTCAGTGCCCACTGGGTCAGCAGTCTCTACCCAGAACCCAACATTAACTTTTAGTTTTGATATATTTGAAACTACTGTCCAATTATTTATAATAGTTTAATATTTATAAGTTACAATGAGTTACAATAATAAATAAGTTACAATAAAGTACAATAATGGAAACCAATTATATAATAACAAATGACAAAAATTAAAATTTTATTTTAATTATGTTTAATGAATTATAAAGGAAATAAAAAAATAAAACTTGAACAATTTATGCAAGAAACAGAAAAAAACTATTTAAAAAATACGTGTGCATAGCTATTTTTATCAACTTATGCAATTATAATTTATTTATTTTATTTATGCAGTATTTTTTTTTCTTTGATATTAATTCAAGTTACACTTTTTGAGCGTGGTGACCGATAAGAAATCAATTTTTTTTCTTTTATTGAATAAATAAGAAGTTAATATTGTTTAAAATATTTTTATTACCTTACAATACATGTAGGTTATTCAGGAATTTCTATCATTGAAACTATAGGTTTATGGTAACTGAAATAAGAAACATAAGTTTGAGACTTGATATCCTCTAAATATCTGGAAAATACTGCGTCAATGGTGGTCCCATATTTTGTTGTGGATTCTTGTGGATCATTATTTATTTTCAAATTCAATTTTTCCGAAATTGTGTCTTAAAGGGATAGAATCAGTTATGAGCAGTTAGCAGCTAGTCTACACGCATACGTCTAGTCGCACGCACACAAACACCGTGCCGAAGTCTTCCGAACTGAAACGACGTTAGACGATACACGGCTTTCAACGCCGCACCGCTGTGCCGGTCGGAGTTGCGGGTGTTAGGTTTATTTTCGTTACGGAATTTCTTTTTCGATTTTCAATTTTTCGATTTTCAATTTTTCGACTTTTCAATTTTTCGCATTTCAATTTTTCGATTTTTCGCTATTTTTAGATTTTTCGGTTTTTTTTTATTTTTCGCTATTTTTAGATTTTTCGTTTTTTTTTTGATTTTTCGGTTTTTCTTTCGATTTTCAATTTTTTGATTTTTCGATTTTGCAATTTTTCGGTTTTTCTTTCGATTTTTCAATTTTTCGATTTTTCGGTTTTTCGATTTTTCGTTTTTTTTTTATTTTTCAATTTTTCGCATTTCAATTTTTCGATTTTTCGCTATTTTTAGATTTTTCGGTTTTTTTGATTTTTCGGTTTTTCTTTCGATTTTCAATTTTTTGATTTTTCGATTTTGCAATTTTTTGGTTTTTCTTTCGATTTTTCAATTTTTCGATTTTTCGTTTTTTTTTTTTTGATTTTTCAGTTTTTCGATTTTTCAATTTTTCGGTTTTTTTTATTTTTCGGTTTTTCGATTTTTCAGGTTCAGACATTTATTCAGTAATTAAAATTTTTTTAACAACAATATATACATATAATACAAACATACTGTATACAGTATAGTATGCGACCCTATAAGTAAACCAATAAGGTCAAAGACGATTCATCCGCCTGTTATATGTTACATATTTCAAGTATTTCAAGTATTCGCTAAACATAGCCGCCCTCACTCCTTAGCCTAGGGGTATTATTGAGGGATTAGGAAAGTTTGTAATCGGGAATTGTAAGTGTTTGTAGGTTTGTCGTGTCTTAAGTTCATATTGTCCCCTGAAAAAGCTAGAAAACAGGGTTGTCGTTCGTGGTATGTGGTCTTGAATTTTGTTTGTGATTTTTTGTCATAATTCACTGAGAGGGTGGGATATAAACCACCCGGAAGTGCCTCGGTCATTCATTTCATTTCAAAACATTTATTCAATTTTTAAAACATTTTTGACAATATATATACATATAATACAAACACACTGTATGCATTACAGCATGCGACCCTATTGGTAAACCGATAGAGTCAAAGACGATTCCTCCGCCTGTTATATGTGAACATATTTCCACTGTTTTGAGTTTGCTAAACCCAAGGGGTATTATTGAGAAATTAGGAGGGATTATGATCGGGAATTGTAAGTGTTTGTAGATATGTCGTGTGTTAGTTTCGTTACTGTCCCCTGAAGTGCCTCGGTCGAGTGCGAAGAATCGCTCTCTGCCGCGGCTCCGTCGGTCGGTCTATAGCTCAGTCCTCCGTCGGACTAGATTTCGTAAATATCCAGTCCGTGTGAATTATTGTTTAGTGTTGTTGGAATTGTCATAGGTCCTGTTACTGTCGTCTGTATATGCTTAGATTTTTGTGAATGCATCCGTGTTTCCTACGCACGCGTCCCCCTGGTGAATGTGAGTGATGCTTTCCCTCAGTTCCTCAGGGAGGCATCGCGCGAAGAAGTTTTCGGATGTTTGCATAATGAAATCCATAATCATAGGCATATTTGTCGTCTCGTGAATGTCTCGTATTCTAGCATAGCGATCGTAGCCAAGAGCTAGCCTCAGACATCTGTTTTGTGCCGTTTGTAATGGTGAAAAGTATGAATTTGGCATTGAGCAGTATACTGGACAACCATACGTCAGAATAGACCTAAATATGGTTTTATAAAGTAGAATTTTGTTCGACAAGGATAGTTTGCTTCGTTTATTCATTAAAGGGTACAGAGACCTCAGAATACCCGAATTTCTACCTACCCTGTCTTTAATGTGTGCCTTAAACAATAATGTCTTATCCAGCAGAAAACCAAGATATTTTAACTCTCTTTTTATTGTGATTGGCTGATTTTGGACCTGTAGGGGCGTGTCTATGCCTTGGACACGCCTTTTTGAAAGCGAAGATTCTTAAGCAAACGAGTTTATTGATGAATCAAGTATTTTTGCTATGTCATACCGGCAACCTTATAAACTGTTGCCAACCTTTAAAATTAATTACCCCAACACGTTTACTTCAAATTGGTTTTTATTCGTGTTATTTATTCCGTTGACAATATCATAAAAATAGTTTATTATTGAAATTGAACGATCTTTCTCAATTTCGATGAGATAGCTCAAAGCTTGCTAAAAACCACATATCAGCAGATCTCGTTTCTTTTAGGAAACGTCACAGACGAAGGTAACGGAGAGTTCACAAGTAACAATGGTCAAATTTTAGTTTCAAGACGACCAAATTCGAACGCTCTCTTTCACGCACAGACTGAGGGATACCTAAATCCAGTATCTGTACCATCTGCATCTAGATCTTTAATTGAAACTAAACGACCAGATTCTATCGGCAGCAGCGAACCCCTAAGTCCTGTTGTATCACCCCCGCCAGTATCAGATATATCTAATGATCCTAATAGAAGGGCTAGTATGGCGGCAGAACCCACCTACACTAACAGTTCCGCAATGGAAAAAGCCTTGACTTTACCCCCACAGTATATTAATTTGGGGGGTAATGAAGCAGTTGGAGATCCTTTGAGGTATAAAGGTTTACTCATATATGTATGGAAATCTAAAGGTGGACTCTCTATTTTTCACCGCTTATGCTCGTCTCTAATTGATTTGGCTTAGATGGTCTATCTTTAAATTTCCGTACCTGTATATATTTGATTTAATATTATGTAACTGTAATATTTCTTAAAATATCTATACATTTTAGTGCGTCACATGTGTACATGAATGTAGATATGCCAAAATATTCGAAACAAGACATGGATGACAGCCACTGTTACGCCAATATAGATTCGGAAAATTTAGAAAGCCTTAGGTCATTGGAACCTTTACCGTGCACACCTGCTATTTCTTATGGCAATTTTGATCAGTCGACGACGGTAGAAGAAGTAAATTATGCAGAGTTAGACTTGAACGGTAGTGGAGTAAATAATTCAGAGGTAAAGAAATGTATATTATGAAAGTGGCTAGAAATTTAAATATTTATCAGTAATTTTTATTTATAATTAACTAAAACAAATAATTTTTATATTATTAAAGGTTTTTCTTACTTATTTAATTAGTTTCCTTAACTTTTTATAATTTTCTTTCAAATTGCCATTAACATTTGAATGAGAATTATTGTTCATATCACTAGTTTTTAAAATTGTGTTTTGTTTAGTTTCAGGTGGACCCAACTGAAACGAATACCAAAGAAAAATACGTAACAATTGATTTTCAAAAAACCACAGCACTTTCGCAGTCAAAAAATCCCTCTATGGTTGTCGAAGAAGGCTCTAGAAAAACGAGGCACAATTCGGCTATCAATTACAATAGTTCAATAAGTGACTGAATTTAGTATATGTGGGTAAATTTATTTATATAATATATAAAAAACGCAGTCATTTTTTAATTGAACTGCAGAGTATAGTACGAGATCCGGCGTTAGAAAGTTCTACTACCATCTTTTATTTTTTGATTAAACATGGTTAACATGAAAGATATTATAAATACCAATAATATTGTAACCGTGACTCAACTTCATCATAAAAAGTTTATAATTTTTTTCATAATTTCTTATTTAAATATAGGTTGCAATTTTTTGGCCCTATTACCAATTTGTCATCCTTAAACAGATGAGTTCCCATTGATAATTAAAGTTTATTCCCTACACGATGGTATTGGGTTGCCTAAGAAAAACTTGACCCCTCATACGGTTGCCACAATTTCAAGCCGGTTCTGCTAATGGCAGAATTGTAACTCAATTAACAGTATAATTGAATCGTCGAAATGTTTATCAAAAATGAAATAACAAACAAATAAATAATTAAATCCACAATTTAAATTAATAAACTTTTAAGAGATTAAACTTATTTTGGTAATGGAGGAATTCCAATTCAATTAACAGTATAATTGAATTTTCAGAAGATTTTACATAAATGAAATAACATAAGAAAATAAATAATTAAATTCCCCAAAATAAAATATTTATTGGCAATGCGATGGCATTCTAAATAAAATAATATACTTAATGTGGCAGGTTGAACAGGGCTAATATCATTCTATCATCCTCAATATTTTAACAAACAATTTTCATTTTCCAGGAGAGAAATTAAAAATAAAGAAATTCGGTCGGCGCCAAGTACAACGGAAAAATTATTAATTAGTAATTAAAATTCACCTACTCGTATTGTCGTTCCCCAATTAGAAGATTATTTTCAAAAGTGATGCAGTCTACTACAGATGTAACAGTTACAGATAAGGGAATAGAGATACCTCGTGATCGACTGTGATAAGTATATTAAAGATAAAAAAATATTGAACACTATGTTTTAAATATCTTTTATTTCATTATGTATTATACCATTTTTGCAAATTGGGCAGTGGCGGCTCGTGGTAAAAATTGTTTTCTTAGTCAAAGTCCTATCGATTTTATCGTGCTTGCTGAATGATGGATTGCTGGAACGATTGCCACACAAAAAAAATAATCGCCAAGCACTATTTTACTGTACTCTATTTTCTTCAAGCAAAATACAAAATGTTTAAAAAAATTACGTGAACAATTTAAACAGATAGTGCGATTTTACAGTCTATTTTTTATGAATTAAGTCCATTCTACGTTCTTTTCAGTTCGCAAATTTTGTAATAACTTTTTCATAACAGTTGTCTATTTCGGAAGTAAACTTTTTTTCAATAGATAGCATGGAAAGAGCTGTTAAACGATATTCAGTCATTGAATTTCTAAGAAAAGTTTTGTTTCGATTTAGTGTTGAGAAACATCATTCGGCCTCTGATGTTAACATAGAAGTTGTTACCACAATTTCTAATAATTGTCTAGTCTCCTTTAACGTATCTCCTAGATTGTTTGATATTAAACATTTTAGTAGAGGTAGTGTGCCATTCAATGTCCTGCAATCATTTCTTGAATAAAAAACAGACAGTTCAGTTCGCATTCGTTCTTTGTCAAGTATGGGATAAAAAGAGCATGCGGAAGTGAGTTTATCCTCGGGAAATTTACCACCATACTCTCCAAAGCATTCCGAAAAAAAAGAGGCAACTACTAGATGCTGTTTTTTTTTCCTGGGCTCGTCTATGTCTCCGAATAACACTGAAGCCAATTATTGGCTTATTGTGTTTTATCCCATGTTAGTTCATAGCACCCACTCTGTCACCTTTGTACCTTGTACAAGTTTGTACAGATCCTTGGGTGAGTGGGTTCTATACAACCGCGGGTTGTCCAAAAGGTGCCTGTCTTTTGCGATCTAGAGCTTCGCATTCGCACACTGTGTTTGGCCGTTTCTGATTTCTTGTGACATAGTCGGCACATGAGTTCCCCATTGTACATGCCAATTTTGTTCAAGTGTCCCTTTACTGGTGCGTGCCCAGTCATGAACCCTGTTATCACTTTCAACTGGTTCCTATTCATAAAGAGTAGTTCTCCAGTTCTTTCGGGACATGGTCTGCCTATGAAGGCTTTTCCATGTGTCTGTTTTAAGGTGCTTTCCCAATACTTTATATGTTGTTTCCGAATCCATTCCTTTATGAAACCCCGGACTGTACTTTTTGGTACTCCTGGGTTTGTGTCTGGTTCTGGTGTTTCTTCTGACTATTTTTGCAAGTTCGTCAGCCTTTTCGTTGCCTTCGATCCCTTGGTGACCTGGCACCCAAAGTAGTTTTACTCTATTTCGGTCTGACAGTGTTCTTAGTTCTTCGATGCATTCCCATACCAGCCTCGACGTAACTTTCTGACTCGATATGGCCTTAAGTGCCGCTTGGCTGTCTGACATTATTTGAATATGCTGATTTTCGACCGCTCTTTCATGCTCTTTCAGCTTTGAGCAATCTATATACCTATATATGTATCATTGACCCTGTTAATAACATGACAACAGGGTTGCCATATCTAAACTGTCAGTCCCCACTGGTAGCCATTTGGACAGGTCGTTGGAATGCCTAATTATGTTCCTGTCAGTGGCCTGTCATTATTTACGGACAACCATTTTGTTTGGAATGCCTAATAGGACAAGTGTGTAAAAAGGCATATATATTGCTTTTTAAATTATCTTTTAACTGTACTATGTATAATTAAAATAAGAAACGGGGTAGAACATCCTAATGCCGGTCCTTATGACTATTAAGGTTTATCTAAATGCATCGATATCTCGAGAGAAGTAATATTTGTGAAAAAAAAAACTTTCATACCCCGTCCGTTGTAAAGGCACTCTCGAGTAAAATATGAAAATTAATTTTAAAATAATACATTGGGTAAAATTACATTCATTTATAATTACTGCAACCAAACATATTATTTTTGCCTACGTAAAACGGCTGTGTGTATTTTTTTATGAAGTATCTGCAGGAAATGAAAGTGTTCCAAATTTATTATGTGCCATATTTAATTTTTGTTTGAGCTGTATACAGGGTGTTTCACGACCAACTTAATATGAGTAAGATTATATAGGATCTCGATTGAGTTTCATTGTAGTGTTTTAAGTTATTAATTTATAGGAGAGTGTTTAAAGGTCAGTTAAAATGTATTTTTTTCTTTATAAGAAAACTTATTTCAATTAAAATATTTTCAAATATACCGCTCAAAATATTTAGAACATTTGTTTGTTTGTCAATAGCTTTTAAAATTCTGACTGTATATAATTCTAATGAAATTTAGGTACATATCTCAAACACCTAAATCATAGATTTTCTAACAGTTGTGGTAATATTCCTTACAAAAAAATTTAAATAAGTTTCTCTATTTAATATTCATTCAAAAACATATCACATACCAAACAAGAAAATCTGTGTGTCGCCTGCATTGTTTAATTTCTTTAAATAGTTGATTATTTGCTGGATCCAACTGTAATGATGTTGGTCGAACAAAAATCCATCTGGATTGAAAACGCTGCTGGATTTAGGGTTGCCACCTGTCCTTTTTTCAAACAAATTGTCCTTGTGACTTTTTAAACCTTAAAATGTCCTTTTAGAAGCTCTTCGTTAGAAAAAGGACCTGGTTTATAAAATATAAGCTGAGGACCTTTCTTTTTTAGAAGCTCGGCAGAAGGACCTGGAGTTAATTAAAAATATAAGCTGATGAGGCCTTTTTGTGTTTTTTTTTAAAGTTCGCTGGACAGAACTGGTTTTTTCTTTTAGAAATGCCCCCTTTCGTGAATTTGGCAACCCTACCTTTATTCACTTTTTAAAAAGGTGATAATACTAGCTGGATTGCAGTTGGTGACACAATAATGGCAGAAATGAAACTATTGCAGACTTCTCTATCATGACGGGTTGCGGTACCGATTCTATTTTGGCTCTGAGCTTTCTTCTTTTGCTTCTTCCTTTTTTTGGGCTATATCCTACAGGACAATTTACCCAGCTATCAAAACGGGAGAGTATCGTTGTCTTGCTCTTGGCAATCGGATACCCTCAAGTAATATAATTAAAATATGTATTTGAAACTTCTTAACAAGATGCATAATCCCATTAAGGCTAGATTAATTTTTTTACACATACACACATGGCTCCCGATTCTGAGACCGCCATTTCAACGGCTCTGAGCTTTCCGCATGCGCAAAGCCATGTCAAACATAACCTAGAGTTACTTCAATCTTTCGCGTATCAAGTATCAACAATAGTTTGGCTAGTCACTCACAAAATACCCTGTATGTGAACCTATACATCCGGTTATGTAACGTTTTTGCAACAATGAATGGCAAAAGGGCTATCGTAAAAATTTCAATATAACTAATGTCAAATTTAACAATTTAGAGACTGTTAACATTGTTTAATAGCCTGAAGCTCAAAGTTATTGAGATACAAACAAGCTTTTTTTTAAATATTGTGAGCAACGTATTAGATATGCATAGTCGCATACTCAATAATTGTTTTTCGAAAAAAACGTATACGTTGTTTAATTTTTAGATTACCTGACATATATTAAGTTTGCTTGTTATTTTTTTAACGTTGACAAACGCACCTATTTTATTATATTCTAGTTAAGAGGTAATACACGTTTTGCAGCTATTTCTGTTGTACATAAGCTACTTTATAGTTTTTTTTTCGCTTTTAATCATGTATATAGGAAATTAATCGTGACTCACCCTATATGTATCCAGTCAGTCGTGAAGCACCCTGTATAAGAGAACATTAATTCTATTGTTCTAGTCTTCCATACCATTGTTTATATATTTTATTGATAAGATATACAATTAATTATACAGTGCGTCCATAAAGTAACGCATAAATTCATTATTGGCTAAATGAACAATAAAATTAGGAATTCCCAAAACAGGTCGATTTTTGATTTCAATTTACTATTGTTTCAAATCATAATCTAATATACAGGGTGAACCACTTTCGTGTAATGACATCATCACCATTTTTTTTCAAATGGAACCCCCCCCTTTTTTTTCAATTTCCAAATTGCCTTTGCTGAGCTGATTCCAAAAATGTATAATATGTTGCTTCAAATTGGTACAGGGTGGGCAAAAATGCAAAAAAAAAATATGAAAATTGTTTATGGAAAGTAATACGTTACTGAATGTAATAAACAAATTAAATGGAATTATGTAGTTATGCAATTAATGTGATACACTTCCAAAAACAAACAAACGAACGAAAATTTACAATAAATGTTCAAATTGTTCTCCATTGACCGTTAGACAATGACTGAACCGGGCATTACTTTCGTCTCTAACATTCTGTAGCATAGCGGATGTTATGCTCTGTATTTCTTGTCTGATTCGGTCTTGTAGTTGAGGGATATTTCCAGGTCTGTTGAAGTAGACTTTAGATTTTAAATAACCCCATAAAAAGAAGTCTAATGGGTTCAGATCAGGTGATCTAGCAGGCCATTCCACTGGTCCCCTTCTTCCTATCCACCTTTGTGGAAAAGTTGTGTTTAAAAAATTGCGCACAGCTACTGCGTAATGTGGCGGTGCGCCATCCTGTTGAAACCAGATTCTGCGGTCTACATTAGTGGGTATTTGAATATCAGGAAAAAGCTGGATCAGATCAGGAATTAATGTATTTTGTAGGAAATCCAGATATAATGCTCCTGTTAAGTTTTCATCGAAAAAATATGGACCAATAATTGTATTTCTCACAATACCAGCCCATACGTTAGTTTTTTGTGGTCTTTGCGTATGGTACTCTTGCATCCAGTGTGGATTTTCATCAGACCAATAACGGGTGTTTTGCCGGTTAACATGACCGTTCAAATAAAACGTTGCCTCGTCCGAAAATAAAACGTTATCAATGAAATTGTTATTTTGGTTCATCATATACTCGCAGAATTCAGTTCTTCGGTCAAAGTCGTCTTCAGCCAATTCATGGATGAGACGTACTTTATAAGGATGGTATTTTACCTTTTTGAAAATGTTTGATACTGAAGACTTTCCAATACCAAAATC